AGAAGACTGCACAATCAGATTGACACTGGGTTTGATCTAATGAACATATTTACAATTTTATACAGAGGAATTTATAGCTTACAGACCCAGAATTTAATTATTCTTGTTCTGTATCACTTGCACTTTTTCTGGCACAGAGCAGAAACGGACCACCTGGCACCACACAGTAATGAAATGAGTAAAAGAGAGATAAACAAGGCTCTACCACCACCTCTGAAGTGGCAACAATAGCAGTGTCAGTTAATTTCACACCTTGTGGTCACCAGTACAAATGTGAGCTTAGCTACCCAAGGAGAAAATATCTATTTTTAAAAGGACAAGTTGAGCTGTGATTACATTGTCAAATACACAAACCAGCAGTAAAATACTGTGTGCACTTATGCAACGGAATGTTCCAAAAAAATAAAAATTTTGGGTCCCTAGGTAGGATAAAGTAAGCAGCTAAATGGCTGCAGGACTGGCGAAATCCACAAAAGCCAATGTACTTGCCTCCAAACATTTTCAACTATTTATCAGCTAGCTCCTGGACAATTGACCCCCCAACTATAAACATAATGCACACTAAGAATCTGAAGAATCTACTTATAAGAAAGTGGCACCTTAATTCTGGCCTGAACCACTTTAGAGATACCCATGTAACTGGGCATCCAAGAGGTTAAACTAACTGGTATCAGCTGATCATATAAATATATATCCAAGTGGTACAGGTGGGTTTTATCAGCTACCCAAAACGAATATTAGTTCTAAGTGGAGTTGGCCTATATCTGTCCAGCCTCTGCATTTATCTTCCCAACACCTAACAACTTACTTTTTCCCCTTACACAGTGTGACTATTGGATGATGCCTGAAACAGCCTAGATTTACTATGATAAGCAACCCCATATAGCAATCATTACAGAAAGCGCTTTATAACTACAAATAAATAGTGCCACCTAGAGCTCAAATGATTGGGAAGCACCAGAAATGAAACAGTTGTTACTTATGACTTCTAAGAAATAAAAGGGTTTAAAGCAGTGGATTATACACCATCACTGTTAAAATAAAGCAGGTCTATTCAGTGGCAGTAACTGGAAAAGGCATTAGGATTTCTCAATGAAGTTACAGACTTGCATTCTAAGAAAAGCAAGGTTCTCAGAGGAAAAAAAATTGCTGAGTACTAAAGAAACCAGAGATCAGAATTGGGCAATGAGTGACTGGCATTTAGTGGGTTAAAGGAAGTCCATGCAATTATCATCTCACGCTCTGTAATGTTTCCACACTCTCCTCCACACACCTCCTCCTTCCACAACAGACAGTTACAGACACAGCTGCTGCAATGGGCGCTACAGTCTATTTTTGGTTTTCCCCTCAGTCACAGATCAGTGGACACAGGCACTGCTGCAAGCGACCCACATTTTTTTTTATTGTTTCTGGGGTAACTGTGTGCTTTTGCAGAGGTTGATAGTTGAGAGAGTTTGTCTATAGTTTGACTACAATAGCATAGAGAAATATCCACCAGCATCATCCAATTGTTAACTGAAATGCGATTTAAAAATGTGAATTTTTTATTTAAAAAAAACAACAATCTTTATGTAATTATATAATTCATCAATGACCATTACATGTTAAATACTACTATCACTGCATAAAATCTGTCCTTATAATAAATTGGACCAGTACTGAAATTTTCAGCATTGCTAGAATAAAAATGGTCAAATATTATGGCCTTGGCACTGTTTATACACTGCATGACAAAAGGAGGTAAAGTGAATGACTTGAGTCATGCAGAGACGGCCAAGTCAGCACCTTTGCCTGAACACAGATCCTCTCCTCGTATACAGACAAATGTCTGGGATAAGAGGTTAGGAATTAACAGAACTACAGTAAATATTTTCCTGTCCTTACATTTTAACTTTCAAAGTTGCTAAGGACCCATCACACTGGAGGAAATGTGGGTGGCACTAGCACCCTTGCCTTGAAACAAAGCCCCAAGAATGGATGGTCTGCCAGCTTAAATATACACAAAATATGGTTAGGAACTTCTTCCTTAATGTCCTGGATAACATTCATGAGGCAGCTGCTGCAGAAAAACTTCCTTATTCTATGAAAGAGGTGGTGATGGTGGTTATTCCCAGCCTGTTTAAGGGTCCTGCTCATCCAGACTCCTATTTCTCTTCTTATCATTGACATAAAGATCATAGCTAAAGCCCTGGCCAATTGGCTCCTGAAAGTTATAACCAAAACTTATTCATCCAGACCAGATCCAGATTTATATTAAACTGATCCACAGTTTAGGAGATATGGGAAATTCTTTAAAGTGCTTGACACAACTTATATTGAGAGTCGAGAAATTTTCAAGATTATTAACTGGAGATACATTAGTACTGCGACCTGTGCTAAACCCAACAACATTGCTCACAGTTTTAAAAATCTAGGAATAGTGACACCTATATTGCCACAAGATTTCATATACAGTCATGGTCAAAAATATTGGCACCCCTGTACTGGTGATGCCAACTATTGTTGGTTGCAGGTAGCCCAATTCTGCTTACAATTTTTTTAAAGCCTCAAGTGCTCTACGACTTGGACAATTCACCGATTTGCATTCCAAAAAAAGCGTATCAATCAAAACCACCGTTTCCCTGTTTAGGGAACTTATATGGAAGAGGTGCCATTCTAAAATAAAACTAGCCACCCTTTATTACCCATCAAATCAGGTAGGTCCAGCTGTCCCCAATTTCAGGATATATTTCTTCGTTGGCCAACTTCAGTACCTAGTTAAAAGAGTCCCACATAGGGGAAAACCCAGCCCAGTCCCTAATACTAAATGGTATTGGCTGGTAGATTTGAGTAACTGCTATGGAGGTTGGATATTGCCTTAAGATCCCTCTGCTTCCTACACTTGTATTAATTAAAAAATATAAAAAGTTATACATCATCTAGTGAAACAATTATACCCCTCAGCTACTCCATAGTGATGGCTGGAGAAACAATTCCATATGTTTGAGATGCAGCAGAGGGTACACGGATACACACGATTTGAAGAAGCCTTACATCGTACTTCACTACTAGCAGCACATTATATTAACACTTAATAGAGTATTTAGGCTGACATTAGTACTAGACCTCATGCTAGGTTTGCTGGGTATTAGTGATCTAACACGTAGGCCCATCCACTGAATTAGCCCTAACCGGAATGTTATTTCCAGATAGAAAAACAATTACATTTAGATGGTTATCCACAACTCCATCTTTATTTTTTAATATGAATAGATCATACCAATTTCATGTAGCACTTATAAAACGTTTAAATGCAGGGCTAACATTCTAAAATGTGAAAATATTTGATGGGCATGGCTGACTACATAGGGGCTATCCCCACACAGCTTTATGCTGTGTAACTATATAGGACAAGGAGCTCAAGACATCTGTCAGGACACTGAAATATGGTAAACACAAGACAGCAGTATGCCTAGACTACATCACGGGAATGAGCTTGGCAAAGTGGCTACTTTATGAAATACACAGGGACCATGGGGAACAAAAGTAGTCACCCTCCAGAAGGAAAGACAGTGTCAGCACCAATTCAGAGATGATTTGAGGATCTACAGCTGAGTGATACACAAATAAGCTACATTTTTGTTAATAGTTAATGTACTTGAATGTATTTTTAAGGTTTTTAAATCTTGAGTTTAGTGTCACTTTAACACTACAGCCATCTGCCCAATGCAGGGATCTCCTTGACAGCGGTTAGATATCTTTTAAAGAGATTTTGACAAGTCAGACATAGTAAGGTCACTGACAGAATCAGGAGAAGGGCAGATCCTGCCAGAGAAAACCGTGCTCTAGAAAGGGCTTCCAACTGCATATCGGTTAGGTCCTTAAAGACAGGCGTGTCCTTTCCCAAAATGTTAAGCATCCTGTTAAGGTGGAAAATTTGCCAGATCCACAGTAGGAATAGACCACTTCTGTGAAATCCTCATTAAAAACAGCAACAAATATAAGAAGCAAAATGCCAACCAGGACCCCAGCAAAAAACTGGCATGCCGGTAGTGGGAGGGCTTATCTTTGGCTGGTCTACATATTTTTTTTTGTTTGCCAGTGTCCAATTCTTCCGTAGGCTGCAGAATAACCTGAAATTTCAGATTTTCTATGTCCTTCAATGAACAAGAAAAACATTTGGTTTAAAACGCACCATGTTTAATTTGCACCTTGGACATGGGATAGGTTGGGAGTATAGGAATGAGATATTTGTGTAATAGAAAAGGAAAAGCAAATAAAAATGCAGCTGATTAAAAGGAAAAGAAAAAAAACATTTAGACTATATAGTAGTGTCATGTGTACACACATAAAAGTTATAATGTACCCATGGCTGCAAACTGAATAGTATGGAGGCCACAAAAATGCACAAGGCCAAAAGTCAAACACATTTTAAATGTTTTTGAAATCTGAGCTTTGAAAATGAGAACATAAAAACAGTTTGCCACGCATAACTACTGCATACTCTCAGTAAGCATCATAGCCTTTGTTGGCTGACTGCCTCCATTGTAAATACAGGTGAAACTCGATTAGAATATCGTGCAAAAGTAATTGCAGTAAGTGCTGCAAAAGGGGCCCAAACCAAGTACTGAGTACATATGCATGCTTGTACTTTTCAGAGGTCCGATATTGTTCTATGTACAATCCTTGTTTTATTGATTGCATGTAATAATCTACTTTTTTGAGGTTGTGGATTTGGGGTTCTTGGGGTTTTCATGAGCTGTAAGCCATAATCATCACAATTATGACAAATCACGGCTTGAACTATCTTGCTTTGCATGTAATGAGTCTATCTCATATATTAGTTTCACCTTTTAAGTTGCATTAGTGAAATAAATGAACTTTGCACGATATTCTAATTATTCGAGTTTCACCTGTAGTTGTTTTGCATATGTTGCCACTGACATGGGGAGATCAAGGAATCACTCAACATCAGCCAGTATATAACATTTCAAATACTAGACCCAATTGTCAAAGCTTACCTTTCTGCCAGCTCCACATGAGCCTGCTTTCCAGCATATTCATCTGCTGTGCGAGTCAGCTCCTTCGTAATCACCAGCTGGGAGATGTCTATCCGATTACAAAGCAAATCAGAGATCACGTCCTTGGCATGTTCCACAGCGCCCATCGGATCTCTAAAAACACAAAGTTCAAAATGTATTACGCTATTATATGAGGCTTGATCCGATTAAAGTATTTTGCTACTTTGCCAGTGGGTTTCATCTCTACCACCAGAGCCTAATATAGATTAAAAGGTGAAAATGAGTGTAGAAATTGTGTGCCAGAGGTGGAGAAATAACGTAGTGTTTTAATAGTGCATAATTTTCGATCAAGGATTTATTTATTTTTTATTATTTCTATAGTTTTCTCCACCTGTACCAGCAGAAGTATCAGGGTGATCAGACAGGTTTTAAGATCTTCCAGTCTCCTGTTTAAACTCAGTGCAGGTCAAAAGACACTTACAAAGGTGTCATCGGGATAACAGAAAAGAAAATCAAATATTGACAGTTTTACCTTCTTGCAGTAGATCAGCATCTAATGTGCGGCACTAAGCTAGTGCAAGAAAATGGATTGACATTTCTGCTCTGACACAGAGATAATACAAGGAAAAAAACAGCACACTCCCCCATTCCTGAGTGGAAATGGCATAGTGTAGCTTTACAAGTACTTTTTGTTGTTGTTTGAAAACCACCTGGTCACCAGATCCCACTGACGTGAAATAGCACCAAAGAAAAGGTATAGATACCAGCTAGGGATACCTTTATACAGAAAGTGCTGCAAGGTCATGGTCCATCTATAATATTTACATCTCTAAAGCAGCGCTGCTTTGGAGATGTGATATGCAGGATTATTGGGCATTGCTCACTTTATAAAATAAACAATCAACAACAAAGTGGCGGTCACATAGCTATTGCAGCAGAACACAACTTGAGCAGGTTTATAGATGAACCCTTAAGAATCCCCCCCCCCCCAAACAAAAAAGGCGGGTTATTTGTCCAAAACTGCATCGGGGAATGGAGGACAGTACAGATTTAAAACACGGTTTCCTGTATTTCTTAGGTCCTAGCCTGTAAAAAGGATCACCAATTTATTACTTTCCAAAGTCAATTATTATAGGGATGAGTTGCCAACCTTGCCAGTAAGGGATTGTGAAGCCATAAAAGACATGTACAGCTCAGTTCAATGTATTTCTTCTAAACTGGGAATTTTATTTTTGCACTGCAAAAACATATGAAAAGAGTGCATTGTTCAATGGCAATATATACAAGCATTAGCCAAAACAAACAGAAAGACTGCAATGACTATTGAGCTGCAAAGTAATTACAAAGCAGAATGAAAGCAATTATTCGATTACTCCCGAGCCAATAAAAAGGTCCTTTTATTATGAAATCTACTACACCTGTCATGCTTGCCTTAAAACTAAAGTAAGCCTGTATAGTGGCATAGGAGAGACATTCTAACTTTTAGATTTCCATACTAGCTACCCATTTTACTACTGCAGCTACCTAAAAAAATTCTGGTAACTCCTGGCACACCTTCCCCCACATCCCAGGATGAAGTGCTCTTCATTATTGATGAGCTTTAAATGAACCCAGTTTGCCTGATCCATATCCCTCCTTCCAGACCAATCAGTGGCAGTCTGCCTCTGTGACGCGTAGCTGCCGGGAGTGTGCCTGCTGCACGAGACTGGGCCACGAGGGTGGGTTAGTGTTAGTTTTAAGCAGACTTTGGAAAACTCGGTTTGCACCAAGCCCCAGCTCATCACTACTCTTCACCACAGAAATTGACTGCCAGGAAACATATGAAGCCCCAGGGCACCTCACAGATTTTCTTGCACACTTGCAATCAGCTTAAAGGGGCTAAATCACTTCAAACACTATACCTGGGTATACACTGCCAGCCCCAACTGGATGCAAATGCTGTCTGCCTGACAGTTTTCCATCTGCCTCCTTCGATTTTGCAATCAAAAGGATGCCAGCAGACAGGGCAGCCCAGGGAGCGAATTTTGGCCGGTTTATCAAGTAGAAGCCAAAATTTGATCACGCTAGTTTATAAAGGGACACATGTGGCGTATTGTATACAGTAGAAGCCAGTTTCCAATACAAAAAGTCAATTATCGCTATTATAGATTCAATTGTATGTGGTAGCAAAGTCTGGTTTTTACTTATGTGCTAGTCATTACATAAAAAATAAATTGAATGTGTGTAACTTTTCCAACATGGATCCTATGAACTTCTGCCCTTTGTTAGAAACAGGAAAGGGTGAATCTTGCTGGTTGTCCAAGGCAAAAGACAGTTCTTTGAGACCCTTTCAAACATGATGCTGATTAGACAAACATCTGCATAACAGTGCACTGCAATTATTATTTCTTTGTTCTGCAAATGTACCTGTCAATGAGACTCTTCTGCAGACAAGTGTTGATAAGATTGGCCACCAATGGGCAATTATCCCTCCGTACAGTCTCTATACCCTTGCAGTCCATTTTGTCGTGGATGTCTGCACTCGATGAGAAATAGAGTCCGGCGTATCTCTTCTTGTTGATGAGCAGGTAGGGAAAATAAACCTGAATATTACCAGAAGAAAAAGTTGTGACTGTAAGTGTTGAAGTTTAGCTAAAACCTAGAACAAAAAATTGAATATATTGCACCTGACCAGCCTGTAGGTGTGGTAACTGCAATAGTTTTTTCTTTTTTTCTTTTTAGCTTTTCCTCCCCTTTATTTTCACCTGGCAATCACTGTCAGTAACAGGCAATAACTTTTGTCCAAGAATGAGACAACGCTCATTCACTGTACTGCATCTATGAAGTAGCAGCATTGTCAGGATGGGAAGTGTTTTAGGACTACAGAACACCTCCCATTTACCATAAAATAGGGAGGGGGTGTTCTGTAGTTCACACAGGTACACTGGGCAAGGTTGATAAGACTGCTGAGATAACACTGCAAAGTGCACAGATATTGCACACTCACTGGGCTTCTGGCAGGATCAACAGGTATTTTTTTTTTTGCACTTATTTAATAGATATAACAAAACACTTCAAGCAAGCCTCCTATGTAATAACAAAGATAAAGTGACAGGTCCTCTTTAAGTAGACACCAGATGTCTATTAGAAAGAAACTGATGAAGCAGAGATAGTTATTCATAAGCTCATCTGGCTACAGCAGACAGAGAAACAACAGTCTGAAACCGGAAGTGATGTAATGCATACTGCTTCCACTTTCAGTGATCGGAGGGGAGATCAGCCGATGCTGATCTCCCTCCAATGGAAGTACACAGACTTGCTGTGCTGGTCCCAAACCCATAAGGGGGACAGTAAAGCCTGGGACAGAAGCCGTGAGCTTGGTATATCTACTTCCGGATGCTGCCATTTATATATGTACAGTGGGGTCCGGAAGCAGTTAAAGACATCCAATTCAGCACCCCCCCCCCAAAAAAAAAAAAAGTAGGCCCGCAAGATCTAAAGCCGACAGGCCGAAGGCAAATCCAGAATAATAAAAAGGGAAACAGTCTTTCTAAAGAAGATAGTGACAGGGAGTTGCTCTACCAGCCCAAACCCCATCCTGACAATAGTGAAAATTTCTTTTTGGTTAAATAAAGCAGGACAGATGGATGGGAGAACAATGTTCTGATTGAGATGATAGGCATAAACTACCTTAGGTAAGAAGGAAGTCCTGGGCTTTAGCACCACTTTGTCTCTATGCAAAACCACCTAGGGTTTCTTTGTATGATAAGGCTGCCATTGCAGACACTCACCTGGCAGAGGTGATGGCTACAAGGAATACCACCTTGTGGTGAGAGTAGAATAAGTAATGCCTCTAATGAATTCAAACAGTGGTTTCTGTAATGCAGGAAGATTCAGATCACACCCAGTCACAGGGGCAGAAATAGGGGGAGCTACATAAAAAAACCTTGTTGAAAAGGTTCTAATCAAGGGGTGAGGGGGCAACAGTCTTTTAAACATGATAGAAAGGGCAGAAATCTGGCCCTCGACAGTACTGAGAACCAACACCAAGCTGCAAGAAGAAAAGGATTTGTTTCACAGAAAAACTCCTGGAGTGGATGTCCCTACACTCACACAAATCAAATATGCCTTCCATGTCAAATGTTCCTCCATGACGATTGATGTATGCCACTGCCATGGCATTGTCTCACTGAATGCACATTGGTAGATCTTCTCGTAGTATGGCTCAATGCTGTAGAGATGCAAGCTGCCCAGATAAAGAGTCAGAACAGCAGGTGCAACGAGAAAGTCTTTAGGGACTTTGGGGCTCTAAAGGACTGAAGACTGGAAAGCAGCACTGGGAGAAGCAACATGCTGGTCCTCTAGTATCAGAGTGTTGTGAATTGCATCAATAAGAACCAAACCAGCCTTTTTTACATTTGTAAGTGAAAGCCAAGGACTGCGACTCCTCAGGGGTAAGCACATTAAAGACTGAAGCGACTCAGATTTAGAGTCTCAGCGGCTAATGGTTTACAGATGAATCAGATACAGAATCTTTAAAAGAAGCTGCAGGAACACTTTTGTGGCCTTTGTAGTCAGAATAAAAAGTCATAAAGTCTTGCATGACTGTAGTAGCCAAAACGGCAGAGGAACTGGCCTCTCATGACAGAGCTAATAGGAGTTCTGACAGAATAGACTCTGGGAGCAAAGAGCAACAGGATTCCAGGCTGCAGACTTCGGCACAGTCAATAGGTGTGCTTGTAAGCCATGGACCAGTTAGTAGAATGTAAGCTGAAGGCACCCGTTACAGCAGGACTGTCTGCCCGGGTCTAGAATCAGACATATTGCAATCACGTGATGGTACGGCAATGTCAGGCTCAGAGTGATAGGCAAGGTTCCAGAGAGCTGCAGGTAGATGAGGGTCAGGTGGCTGGGCAGTAAGAATGGATCGAAGTTCCACATGGCTCTTTGCAAGCAGAAGCTGGGAAATGCTTCCTCAGCACTCAATGGCATGAAAAAGCTCAGGGCTCACACGCAACTCTCCCCCCCATCGATAGTGTCAGGGCTCAGTGCCACAGTATTAACCCCTTCTGCCGCATAGGTGGTAGGAAAAAAGGGAATTTTCAAGGTGTTCAGCCACCTATGCAAGTCAGGTAGCTCCTGATCATCTGTCAGTCTGGCTTATTCATAAAGTGAGTCTTCAGAAACAGGGCAAGCACTGAGGCAATGCCAGTGGCTTTGGACCTTGAAAAAGATTAGCAGCCAACTTTAACCAAAACTAAGTCTGGAATACGACCTACATGGAACCCAGTGCTTGAAGGTTGCTTCCAGGCAATTCTAGCAACATCATGTCCTGTAGGGTCCTGTTAAGGCACTGCAAAGTCAGGCTGGATGGCATGCCAGATAGCTGCAAAGGAAGAAATTAGCTATGGCAGTGATGTAGAGAAGAGTCTTAACTTAAGAAACAAATCTTCAAGAGTATAAAAAAAAGACCTGGCCAAAACAGGTTGGTCTTCCCCGCAGCAGAACTGATGAAGACATCCATCCTCCAAAGAGTTTAGAAAGAAATTTAGGCACATTAGAAGTAGGAGGTATTATCCTTGGCTATCCTACAGTTTCATTTTGTTTACCAATCTTCCTGTAGGCAGCAGTACAGCCCAAAAGGTGAAAGCCATCTTGTGTCCCTCAATGGACTAAAAAGAAATGGATTTCTTTCTCAAAGTGGTTTGGAGAGACTAAACACAACATTTTAACTCACAAATGGCCCTCTCCAAAAATAAAGGGCCTTTGGGCAATGACATTTTTAACATGCCAGAACATTAAGAGAATTGAACTAAATGTTTAAAAACAAGACATTCTTTGCTAAACCAGACACTTACTTGTTGACAGTATTGCTGTGGTTTCTGGGTCTCATCAGAATCGAACTGGTGGTTCTTGTCAGAATGCGAGCAGCCACAGGTGTGACTTTACTAATGTGCAAGATTTAAGTAGGAAGACTGCAGGTAATTATCCCAAATGTTTTATCATAGTGTTAGAAATGATCAAATCAATGGTGTTATACTTGGTCTGGTTAGAAAATCTGCCTAATCTCCATTACTCTATCCTAAGTTAAATATTAGAAATGTCTGCCAGTGTCGCTCTCTTTCTTCTACTTTTTCTCTGCACCAACAAACTTTGCAGATTGCCAGACCTTGCAATTTATAGAGCACACGAGAGATGACCTACCCTGAAGGCGATCAGATTATGTCTGCATGTCTGTTCACCCTCAGCCATGAGCTGCTTTAATATAAGGTTTAAATAATGTCTCTCAGTTCTGAGATTCTGGCAATATGACAAATACAAACCTTCTCAAACTCCAGTTTTATGGGAGGAGTGAAGTGACTGGACACCCATTCAGCTGCCTCTCTTCCTATTCCCATGGCTTCAGTCACTGTCTGCACTCCAAGTTTGCACATCACAGAGTCTGTGTCACCATAGATGACCTGGAGGGAACCAAAGAAAGCAGTTATGGAAGTAGGTCTCTCATTATAGATGAAAGGCCTGACAAAGAGCAATTACAGAGCTCTTACCTTGGCATCTCCCTGGTACCCGTTGGCAAGAGTGTATTTTGATTCCACTAACTGCTTGGTCTTTTCGATCATCTGTCTCCCAAAGCCAGTGACACTCTACAAAGCAGATAGAAAGAAATCTCCATGTTAAATTACATTAAATTAAAAGGTTGTATAAAGTGTATGCTAAACAAAAAAAAACGAGAAAAAAAAAACACATGCAGTACATCTCAGCAATACATGCACATTTCCCATATTTTATACCTGATAAAAACCTTGCAAATCACAGAAAGATACCCGTTTGTTTCCGAGAAATACACTTGGCTCCTAATTCCTATTATAGGTTAACACACAGCATTTTTGTGGACTGAATCAAGTGTCTTAATCTACTTACAAACTACTTAATCCTTCCCACTGTCTTGATCTCCACAATCCTTCCCACTGTCTTGATCTCCACAATCCTTCCCACTGTCTTTATCTCCACAATATAGATACTAACTATTCTGTAGCCTGTCACAGCACTGCTATCACCTATTACAGTGATAAAAGTGCCGGGACCACTAATTTGCTGTTAAGGGTCTGCCTTGGACACAGAAGGACGCAGCAACAGCATTAACTCAATGAGCGCTGGTCCCTCCAGGGATGATGGGATTATTCCGTCACAGGTCTTTAAGGAACTGAAAGACCATGATAGAATAAGCCCATCAATGGCCAGGAACGGGTTAAGGTGTAAGGGCTTGGGTTAGGGGTGGATTCACATTAATAGAAATGCATTGCGATGTTCTATACATTTTCTTTTTTCTTCTTTTTAATAGTCTAGAAATAAAAATATTTGGGTTGGTTTAAAATTTAGCCATGCATAGCCATGAGATACCATTGTAGAAGCATAGGAAGAATAGGGTAGTTCATATATAAAAATGCGCAATAAAAACACGCAAAACAAAAAATCCCATTAATTCCTATGGCCCCTGTTCACATCTAATAATTTTGTTGCAAGCTGTAAAATGCCTGTCACTGGAAAAACTACATGAGCTTTTTTTTGGCAGATTACAGCGCGTTTTATCACAGGCTATTGTAGGCCGTGGCCCAGGTTGTTGCCTACCTGCAGTGAACACTATGCAAGAAGATGCAAACACTGGCTGTGCAGTCTAGAGAGGTCCAGAAATGGCTGTGCAGTGTTGCAGACTAGCTTAGAAGTAAAATCTTTTGGCAGGCAGCACAGTTTCACGTATGTATTAGAACTGTGTTATTAGCTGCTTGCCTGGAGTTCAGCTTTAAGAAATGTGTACTGTTTAAAAGACCAGACTGGGCTGAGGTTAGCTGCTGCTTTCATCCTTCTCCAAATACAGTGCAACTACTTTTACAAAAATAAACCTGCATGACAATGTTATCACTTTGTTGATGTACACAGATACTTTTATCTAAAAACCTGTTACACAATACCAGCAAGTGATGTAACAGAACTTCTTCATTCTGGAGATGCATATCTTAAAGGCAGGAACTTGCTCTATAGAAACCCTACATTATTTGAAGATTGTTACTGAACTACAGACATTTTTTTAAAATTTTGGATAAAATAGGTAAGATCAGAACGTCTCTCAGTCTGTCTGTTCCCAATGAGGAATTTTCCCTTCTTTTGTCCCAGGCATGGAAAAACAGGGAATAATAATAATAAAAAACACCTTCTTTCTCAATATATAAAAAAACTAGGGGAAAATTGCTTAAAATGACATTAATGTCAAAATCCCCCCCCTAAGCTGCTTTAAGGACTTCCCTTAAATGAGGCCTCTTGATCCAATCATACTCTTCTATCCAGTAGTTTTCAGGAGTCCCTCCAGCGCTAGTGCCGGTCTCTGATCCAGCGCTAACTGCTGTGTCTTCCTGTTCCTCGGAGTTTGTGCGCGCTGCTGGGCTGCTTGCATTGACTTACCTTGTGTCTCTCCTCTTCTCCCGGCCGAAGATCTCTACTGCGCATGCGCTTGCCCCATGATCCTTCACGATGGCTCGAGAATTTTTCAGATTTTGGGACAGGAGCGAGCGGTGGAGACACAGGTAAGTAATAACCTTTTAGGTGACTTTCCAATTTTTAAAAAACATTTTTGCATAGATCTACTGCTTGCTAGCAGTAGATCTATGCAACAAAAAAAGGGTTTAATTCTACTTTAAAAGTACATCTAAAGCCCAAACTTTTTTTTAGTGCTCCCGTCAGTCTTAATGCAGTATGGGGATCAGTTGGAGAGATTCCTTCACTTCCGGTCTGCTAAAAAGGTCGTTCCCAGGACAGAAAGTGAGGGGACATCCCTCTCTCACAGAAACAGAGAAAAGTAAAAACACAATTTTTTTAAAGTTAAGTAGGGGAATACTAGAACCTCTGTCAGCTTTCTATTGTCTGCTTCCTCTCTGCAGGTTGTCCCTCACTTCCTGTCTGTTAAAACATTGTCCCCAGAACAGGAAGTCAGCAGAAATCTCTCTAACAGAGCCCCGGAAAGCTGTAAAGCCTGACAGGAGTTTAAAACCCTCCCTGTTCTATCCAAAACTAAAAGAAATTGGGCAAAAGGTAGACAGACACAAAATATGTTCTTATTCCATTTTATAAAAAACACCAATCTCAACAAACATTATCAGGTCCCCGAACATTTAGTGTAGATGTATCGTCCTGGTGTATGGGTTTTGAATGACAGTGATGCATTCACTGCTTTATAAATAAGCCGCTATATATTGTTAAAAAGCTGTTGAAATTACAATTATTTAACCACTTCAAGACCAGGTGTTTAGACCCCCTTCCTGGCCAGGCCATTTTCCAGTGTTCAGCGCTGCAGTCCTTTGACTGACGTTTATTCCACCATTTTTTAGGTCATATGGAGAGGGTATCTCTGTTGGGGACATTTGTTTACTTCTTTTAAATGCTGAGGTGGGAAACTATGCTCAACCCAGGACAAAAAACATCTTCCATTTTTGGCTAAGAAAGAAATGAAAAAAAAGAAAACTTTGTTGGATGGCACAAGCCTCAAAACTATAAACCTACTGGTCTCAGCTAAATCTACTTTGAATCATCATTCATACCTACATCTTAAAAAAAATAGTAGTGTAGATCAGCCTAAAGGAAGATTTCTGGGATTTTTAAAAATGAAACCCTGCTGTGGAAGGGCTGAGTGCTTCTTTTGGACTCGGAGTGAAAAAGAAGAAAATCACCTGATCCTTAACCCTTTGGCAGTGACTGCTCTAATCTCTCACCCTCTGCACTGACTGTGGTATGTTCCTTGGCATCTTCACATCTATTAGTCGTGATAAAGTCACTGGTCCTTAGACCCCCCAGAGCCCGGGGAAGAAGAGGCTCCGGAGACCGATCCAGCAGCCAGGCTGGACCGAGGAGTATTTTTTCTTTATTTTTACCCCCTGGACAAAATGAGCACTTAACCCTGGCAGTGCAGGGGTAACCCAAGTGCAAGGTTTCTTTAAAAAAAAAAAAAAAAAGAATCTTGGAGTTCTTCTTTTACTACAAAGCTCACAATACTCTCCCTCTACAAATAAGGTATTCTTTTGGTGATATTTTGTTTTGGAATTTTTTTTTTTTAATGCAAACTATAGACAAAAATATATTTTAAAAAAACGTAAGAATTCACTTTTCTTTCAACTTTGACCACTGCATCATTATAAATAAAAAAAGTTAATGTACATAAAAAGTATAAGCTTTATTCTATAATTCATCCCATTTATAAAAACACTAAATGTAGGTTTCTGGTACAAAGCATTGCAAAGATTTGAAAATGAATAATGGATGTTTTTCGATTTTGTGCATTCTTTTTCTTTTGCAAATTTTTTTTTTTAGTTTAACAGAGCATACAATAAACATAAACAATATTAGGCCAGTGAACTGACACAGAAGCCACGGTGTGAACAAAAATACACAAAATGACAATATACATCAGGGCAATCAACAAAATAGGTAATGAATTGCAGGGTAGAAGGAATGACCTTGAAATTGTGTCATAAAGTAATCCCCTAGGACTCCCCAATGTCCACCAGTAAATGGCCAATATGGCCCAATCTGCTGCCAACTGATATGACATCATAAGACATCTCTTAAGGTGAAACTTGGTAAAAAAGCAATTCTTGGGCAGGGGAAACCCAAGGGGCAAAAATCAAAGAGCAAACCATTAAGTTGGGCGACAAGTGAGGGGGGGTTTCTGACAAAGAGGAAAAGAGAAAGAAGGAGAAAGAGCGAGAGAAAAAGAGCGCGAACGAGAGAGGGTGCTAGAAAGAGCGCAAGAAAGAAAGAGCGAGCGCCAGAAAGAAAAGGGAGTGAGAACGAGAAAGATTTTTTTGCGATCGCACCGCACGCATTGTTGTGCCACGCATCCTGGTACTGATTGCACTGTGGGCTGGGAGGCTTGGCTGCGGTGCCATTGACTTCAATGCACCACCACGCCCCCTCCTGCCCCAGAACGCAGGGAGGCTGTAATTACGCGATCCAGTGCTTTCCAGCAACTAACCGTGCTGGGACGCACTTGATTAAGTGTGAACAAGCTCTTACACAGCAAGTCTCAGCTCTCATCTCGACAACTGGGAATTCCCTATAAAAACGATAAGCAGTCATTATCATCATTATCTGAAAAATTTAGATTAAGCAACCAGTCCCGAGGTTTGAATAACCATGAAATGGAGCACCAATTACAAAAACATTTACTATAAAAGCACAAGCTAAAAGGTAAACTGGAGTTAGAAAAGGCACCAGAAGGTGTCACTGACCGCCGACAATGACACAATCACCCCAGTCTGTGTTCTACATGATGACCTCAGCTGGTGTTTCCCAGCTCATCATTTTACAGAACTTTAAAAAAAAAAAATCTTGAGAACAGGAAGCCACCAGCAAAACAGGAAAACCTTTCTGGTATTCCACACTACAGAAAGTTAAATCTGAGCCAATGTGGGAGATCTGTGAAAACCTGAAGTGAATCTGCAAAGTACAATGTATGGAAAAACATTGCCTGATCCACCTAAAATATACTGTACCATTGTGTGCAAGTGCAGTATTCATATAAGGGGGAGACATACTTTTATGCAAAACTAATTTAATGTGCAGCAAAATTGTAAATATTAACCAGGACCTCTATGCA